CTATAAAGCCTCTGGAGCCTGGGGAGGGCGAAAAAAGCATTCATAAAATGGGGGAATCGCTGGTCATGCGTGCTGGGGGTCACGCATTGTATTTCGGGTGTGGCTCATCCGCGTGCGACCCCCCTGCACCCCCCCTTTTGGCACGCGAGGCAAAAAAAAGTTTGCCATCACTGATATAGTGTAAGAATAAAAGATAAAGAGAAGCCACTTCCAATGTAATCACATAAACACTGTACTGAGTACTATAATACAGATAAGTCTCATTTAGCAACTGCCTCATTTTGCAACCATTTGCAGTTACAACGCTGATGAAAAAGTAACTTTATGTCTAATCACTGCAAATAACTTCTCAAGTCTGTAAAAGAAACAAAAACTGAACTAAGATCATAAGCACAGTTTTAGTTTCACTTAAGAACCGATTTACTAAACAATTGAGTTTTTAGTCCAAACTGTGGTCGCTAAACAAAGACCACCTGCATTGTGTTTTTGCTATGAAGTACTTTAATTTCAACACACAAAGCACAGTACAAATGAAGCAACATTCAAGGGAACAGCAACAAACACACATTTTGATCAGAGTAGCACAAGTCATTCAATTAATGTTTGATCCAGAAGTCATCATTTGTTTAATTTACTCTAATTTATGTTGTGTTTTACTTAGTTAGCGGTATCAAAAGTCAGTCTTATGATGGTCCTGAAGACCAGGCATTGTATAATCGTGCTGGCAATCCTCCTAATTCTTTTAAACACTGGTAAATATAGCATCCCAACATCTTACCCACTTCAACATGACAGATAATAATTAGATAACAGCAATTAATTGGTAGATAATCCACTTTATCTTCATTCCCAATGCTTTCCTGTTTTATCCTCACTAACCAAAATTAAGAGTTTTGCAATCAGTTTGCTTCAGAAGCCAATAATAACTAAATCACCCCCTTTGTTCTTTCCTTGAACTTTTTTGGGTGTTTCTAGAACAAACAGATATTTAAAGCATTTGTAAAGGCAGCACATTAAAGCCTAACTTAGACCTCAGTATGTGTGTCAGTATTCATGAGCCACCAGAAAGTGAGGTCCTATTCATTTCCTTCATTCTGAAATAAGACCATCTTACTTCCCCTTCTTCATAAATCCATTATGATTTCTCCATTACTATTTTCTGAACTGTTATCTTTCTTTATGTCAATCAGTCTATGTGATATCTCTTTTCAGTGCTTAGAATAACAGTGTAATTATAAAGGTGTCTCTACATATATGCAAAAATGTGACTAACCAATTATTTATTTTTCTATCAATATCTGTCACAGTAAAAATACTGCTTGGCTATAAAACAATTATTGTTAAGCTGCAACTCCAACACATCAGTGGAGTCTTCAAAAGTTGTGCAATCATGTACCCAATTTTAAAGGCCAGTCAAGCTATAGAGCTTCATTTTTGTTCAAGTTAACAACTGAAATGCATAAGCCATTCTTGGCTATAAAATCAAACAAAATTTGATCTGGCCACTCAAATGTTAAGTATACTTCCAAACTGACTGGAAAATGTTCAAGAGAATCTGCATTCTGTGAAATGTCAGGCTGTAAACAGGAATCACGTACCTTTCAAGGCGAATTTGATAGCCAGTGCTTTTTCCATTACCACAGCTTTCGGCCCTTTCTGCTGCAACTCTTTCTGCTACCTTAATTTAAAAAGAAATACTTTATTAAAATATATGTATTCTTAAAACATAGCTACTACTTTTAATTACAGAATGGAGTTAAATATCACTTACAGAAATAGCACTGATTCTCCTAGGCTGAGTGCACACAATCCTGCAAGAAGATCCTTTTCCTCTTTCAATATAGTCATCCAAAATGAACTGGGTTACCTGGGTTGTCTTTCCACAACCAGTCTCACCACTTATTACAGTTACCCGACTATTATTTATAAGGTTGACGAGCTCCTGTTTTGAAAAGAATAAAAGTGGTCACTCTGTGTGTGTAAATGCACCACTTGCATATCCATGCACCAATTCATCGATGAAGCAAATAAAATTCACACTACACAGGATCTAGTTAGTGTTTGGTTTCAATTTTGTCTAAACTGCTCTTCTAAATAAAAGATAAGATATAAATTAAATTAATTAACAAAGAAATATTATTCATTAAAAAATATATGCAACATAGCCAGAAACAATTATACCAGCTGCAGCCCCTTTGGGAAAAGAAAAAAACAGACATGTTGGCAATTCATTAAAAAGCAATCTGGATTTGCAGAAACCAAATGCTTATCGTTTGATGCATTTCCAGCAAAGAAAACAGCTGCACTAGATCTGAAATGTCTGCATTTATTCTTAAGTCTCTGATCAGAAAAATGGATTAATACATGGAACTAAATAGAAACAAAAACAGCTTCCTTGTACTATGGCTCGCACAAGTCTTACATGTTAAAAGGGGTCATTTTTTTGCTTAAAAAGTTCTCTCTTTTAAGATTGTTAAAATAGATTTGCAATAAATAAATGTTAGCATTAATACAACAATGGTTTTTAAGTACTTTATAATCAGCTATTTAATTTCTTGAGTTACAGTCTACGTTTTTAGCCAACCGCATTAACTAAAAGTAGTGTTTTAATATTAGGTTCATAACCATTTCAGCAGGAATACTAGATGACAATTTTTAAAAAATGGTAATTAAATTTGATGTTATAGTGCAGGGGTGTCAAACTCAAGGCTCTTGGGCTGCATCCAGCCCGCGGGATGCTTTGATCTGGCTTGCAGGGCCGACTTGGAAATAGCAAAGGACCAGCAGCAGATGGCCCTCCCAAGCTCTGTTTTTGCTGGCAGAGAGCTTCAGGAGGCCATCGCAGCTGAAAATGGAGCTCGGGACTCCGTTTTCGCTGGCAGAACCCTCGGCCACCACAACATGAGTGACATTGAACTGGCTACGCCCAACCCAGTGCTCCCCGGTCAACTACCCCCTGATGCGAGCCGCAATGAAATTGATAATACACCCATTATATTATCAAGCTTCAACTCCTTCAGAGAAATGACCCTTTGCACTACTTTTTAATATGTTATTGATATTTCTCTCATGCTATTTAGCATTCCTTTTGTTCATATTAGACCTCTTTAGCCAAACCCTGTTAAAGATGCAACAAAATTATTTCAATAAACATTCCATACCTTCCTCATACTGTGGGAAGGCAATTTCTCACGAAATCTCTGCAAATTAAAGAACAT